ACCACCTCACCTCCATCACCACTCACCTATTACCTTCCTACCTATCTACTACCTCAACACTCAACATGGATCTCGCCAGCCTCATCTCCCACCCGGGACCCGATCCCATCATGAAGTCTAGAGCCTCATACAGCCCTCCCATGACTTCCTACAAGCGCTCCATCGAACACACCTCGGACTCCTACTTCCCCTCCGTCCCGATCTCCTACACCCGCTCCCCGCAGCCTCCTCTCTCCCCGCCTGTCGAGGACCAGTCCCCCAAGTGCTCTCTTCCCTCCATCTCTACCTTGCTCGAGGGCGCAGATGGCGCAGCTATGCATGCAGCAAGTATGGCCCCCAATGCTTAGGGAAATTGTCCGGAGAAGACCGAAGGAGTCAATGCTGACAAGAGATTCCTGCAGAGCGCACTAGAATGACCCCTCCTCTGCAACGCGACCTTGATTCCCGCCAACAGTCGCAAGCATATGACCTCAAAGCTAACGGCCCCCAAATCGCCTTGCCCCCCACCCCCCCATTGCGCCCCGGTTCTAGCTTCCACAGCGCCGGACACTCCCCCGCCTCCTCCATCTCTGCTGCCAGCGATGCTGCTGCGCCCAAGCGCTCCGACTCCTACCCTCAAGTGCCCATGGCTCTGCCTAGCCCCTCGGATCGCTCGTCCATCTCCAGCCAGGGTTCAGTTCAGGGTGTCTCCAGTGCTTCCTACGCTTCTCCCGCTCCCAGCGTCTCTTCCTACTCCTCTCCCATTGAGCCTTCGGCCTCGTCCGCCATGTTCTACCAACGCACGGCTCCCTCCACTTCCGCCGCTCCTCTCCCGACGCCAGCAGCACCGCAACAGATTATCTCCCCTGTGAACCCTGCCTGGCAGCACCACCACTACTTCCCTCCCTCCAGCACCACGCCCTACCAGCAGAACCATGATCGCTATATCTGCCGCACCTGCCACAAGGCCTTCTCGAGACCCTCCAGCCTGCGCATCCACTCCCACAGCCACACGGGCGAGAAGCCCTTCCGCTGCACCCACGCCGGTTGTGGGAAGGCCTTCAGCGTGCGCAGCAACATGAAGCGTCATGAGCGTGGCTGCCACAGTGGTCGGCCCGTCGCAACCGCCATGGTTTAAAGTCCGGCACTGGGTGTCCGGTCACCTTGATGCGCCTCGAAGGCAGTCAAGGCAAGAAAAAAGCTCGACCAAACCAAAGAGCAATACGCCAAACTAAAAAAAAAGGACCATACCACTCCATACAACCAACCTCCCTGAACCCAGCGACCATCTGCTCTGTTTTCTTCTTTGAGTGATACCCTTTGTGCATGTTTTATATTCACTTCTTCTGATCCTCACGCACCCGGGAATCCATGGGACTTGGGTGTGTTGTGATGGGAATCCCCATTTTTTCTTTCTTCACTTCCACCTGTGTATATTTGGATGTCTTCTTCCTTTTTTTATATTTTACTGTCCATGTGAAAAGGAGCAGGCGTCGCTGGTTTTCGGTCTGGGAAATGCGAAGCATAAGATTCGGGAGGAGAATCATTGGGCATGGGATTATCGGAGTCTCAACTCTGGTTGAATTGTTTCTTTTCTTCTGTGTTTCCTATATCTTTTCCTATTTTTTCCTTTTTTTCCGTGTGTCATCTCATTTCCTTTGTTATGATGTGACATGACCTTGTGAACAAGAGATGTTCCTCCTATACGATTATAACAAACGCACAACAGCTTTGTTGTACTCTGGTATGAAGAAACCAATTAAGAGCATAGACTCGCATTCAAGATGAAGAACCAGCCTTCCCCCTTCACTGTAATTGTAGACAACTAGCCAACTATCCTATGATACAATGTGAGACGCTGAACCTTGGAAATTCTCCCTACTCCGTACTGTCATTCCTACCCCCTCCACATCCACCTAATTTGCAAATGTACCCGCGTTCTTTCATCCCATAAGTATAGAAGTCCTCACCACCCGCTCTCCTTCAGGCCATACGAAGCAGAATGACACAGGCGTCTTCTAGACTACTCAACTAAATCATATTCCCTCCTACCTAGATTATCCTCCTTCCCTCCATTCCCCTCCTTTATTACCCCTCACGTCTTGACTCTTCTGTCCCTTCAACTTCTTTCTCACTAGCACCGAGGATCTGTCAACGCTTTGACAACGCAAGATAAGTCTTCTTTACCACTTTAATCTTTATTTCCACCATCATTACCATCATGAACGACTGGAAACTAGAACTGAAATAGAAATAAATAAATAACTTACAGAATTAGAAGCACACCTTTCTGTGATTCATTGACTGCCAGTATTATAGAAATATAGGTATTTCAAATTCAAGCGATCTATATACTCATACTCATCCATACCTGCAATGGGAAAAATTGGAAACCTGCGTATAATTCCATCCAACACCACCGCCACCGCCACCACCACTGCCAAATCCCCACTCGCTAACTGACTAAAGCCACTTTCATATCAATCAAATCAATAATATTTGCCTATTCTCCCAAACGGAAAGAAAACAAATCGACGCAGCCACCCGGGACAAGGGAAAGGGAAAGATAAAGGTATCATGACGATCGTAACCAAAAACAGAGACGCGGTATTCCAAATCGGAAGGAAAAAAAAATTGAAATTGCGCGTAAAGGGGAATATTTCCGGATAGTATGTAATAGAGGAAGAGAACAAGAAGGAATAGGGAAGTTGAAGAATAGAGGAGACCTTCGAGAAAGGAAGGTATCAGGAGTCAAGAATAAGCACTCCACGGCCGTAATCGCAATCTCATCATTATTGGGTCGTCATCATCAACCATGAACACTGACCCTACCTGTACTGGCAGCAGGTCCCATGGTCGTTCTCCTCGCTGTCACGGCCCTTCGTTTGGCAATGGCTCCCTTGAAGTCGATCGAGTTGTAATCCTCGGGCATGTGCTCGCCACTGTAGATGCAGAGGACGCGCATGCCTGGCTTGTAAGCCAATCCGCTGAGCAGCTTGGGCGTGATCAGGAAGTACTGGCCGCCGCCGCCGGTTTCAGACGGGGCGCAGGCTATATCGACCAGACGGCCGTGGACCATGCGCTCATTTCGGGGATC